CCCCACCGGGGTCTCCGACGGGGACCCCGTTCCCCGACGAACACTACTCATTACTGACACCTGGTGTTCGCATCCTATCCTAGTGTCGCTACTTTTGAATCCCAATTTCAGGATCCACTCTCTGAACATTCCCGGGATTTCGGAATTTGATAAAATGGCATTTTTAATGTTTGTAGTATACTCTTCTTGATTTATGTATCAATGACTCCCACTTCATCCATATTTTAATGAGTTTGAAATTTTCGAGGTGAGCGATTTCCTTTTCTTTCACAGTTAAGCAACATAAAAAATAGTCCATTGGAGTTGTTCGGAAAAAAGTTATGGTATTTTTAGATAAAATTCAATCATTCATGTTAAATCGGAGTTATACTTTTGTTGCTGCATTATTTCGAGATTTCAAAGCGCCATTATATGTAAGATTAATTAAGTGAAATGTTCTTCAAGTGAGTGTAAAGGCACTGATTCAGAAAGACTGTTTTAAGCAGTAACGCTTGTATATCGGTAAGGTTGCTGAATCCCGCGGTTTTTAAATGTTCGGAATTTTGTAAATGCATCATGTCAGGCGGCGAATAACCATTCCGGCGAACTAACTGAACAACTTACGGTTCATAATAATGGCAAACGACATAGATGGTTGATGTCNCAAATCAATAATCCAAGTTCGAATTTCATGAAGGCAGATGGTTCCCAACGCTGCGTGGAAAGAAGAATACCAAGGATGTGACATTAGTGATATTGGTGATAGCAGAGAGGCATAAACTCGTAATGAGATGGATTTGCTGATCAAATAAGTAAATAAATGACACAAAAATAACATACCTGCGTCCAGTGACCAATCGGGGACATAGCATAACTGTATTTATAACTCGAATCGATTATTCCGTAGTCAGCTAATTCTTTCCACCAGTAATCTGTTGCCTTTGTCATGGATTCTTCTGTAAGTTTAGTATTATATGGATCATCAGTGAATTGAAGTAGTAGAATGTGATATGAGAAGTATATGAAAAGAATGCGATTTCAAATTGAAGAACAAAACATCGCAATGAGTTAGTGAGTAAATGAATATTCGACTGCTTACCACCGATGGTCAGTTGTTCTGATGAATAGTATTGATATAGGTTCTCTCCGGAGTTGCGCCAGTCATTCTCGGAATGTTCATAAACACATCTGTCGGCCCATTCTTGCGCTTTTGCCTCCAGGGCACAGTCCCAGCTCTTAGAACATTGATTATAAGGTGAATAGATAAAGAATGATATTGAAGTGGTAAGGAACGAAGACTCACGAATTTATACAAATTTTTGGCTCGATAAACACTCCGTTCCTTGCCAGAGGCAAGATCCGATCGATGTCGATTATGCTCCTCCAGTGCTTTTGCACGGTATTCATCTGTCATACTCGGATTATTGCATTGCTGAGTACGCACTGAAGTGAACTGATTTCATATGGTCTTATTCGTCCCATCCGAACAGTCTCTTTGAATGTCACTTCATAAACAACTCCTATCTCGATTCGAGGTTATCAAGTCGTAGAAACGCTTCATGAAGCAGCTAGCGCGTTGGGAAGACTAGCGTTCGGAAGAAACTAGGAGACGAAATTCGCAGTCGGGGATCCCGAAAATGCAGTTGGCTCGAAAAATGCCAGGGATGGAGTCCCCGAATTCCCCGATCCTCGCCTTATACCAGAAGTGGCCGTGTGTATGGATGAGCAATAATGAAAGAGTAAGGTCTCTTTCGAGATACATTCAAGTAACATACCATTTGCAGATGCGATGAGGAGTAGAAGAATTATAGGTAGTGGAACAAGCATTTGGTGATTCAATTAATTCAAAGCTGTCAATGAGTAGTGCTAGATTGCCATGCCTTTTTGTATCATATCATAACCCGTCCCCATTCCACTTTGTTTACAGCTTTCAGCAATTATTTCGTGATATTTTCAGGTTGATATTGTGTGCACATCTGTTCATCAGACAGTGATAGCACAGATTATTTGCACAAGATTATTTTTGTACAGATATTGTCACTGCCCTGATATTTTCTTTTATTCTCGTATATCCATTCAAGTGAACGTTCAGTTCAGATTCACAATGTGTTTAGTCTAGTTATTTATTACACTTATACCCAAAGCTTGCTCATAATTACAAAAACAAGATGATACACGGACAAAGTTAGGTAAGGCGTGCAAATGCTCACTTAAAGCAATGAATGGGGTTTAGAGGTAGTGATAACTATTAATAGATGTCAAGGGCTTTAGTGCACCACTCGATTTCGAGCGGAACTTTCCTCCGCTAACTGGAACCGAACTCGCGATGTACCAATTGCCGGTTGAGTGTTCCCCCTCTGAGCTGTCGTGGAGATCGTTCAGGCTCCGGCGAATGATTGCAGTAAGTTTGCAATCAGTTTTTTAGCGCACATAGTGCGAAAATGATCTGATGATTCGACTTATATCTAATTATTTGATTAAGAAAATGACAGTCCGTTAAGTGGAATGAATGTGAGGATATTGAAATGGAGAGCAGAGTCGCAGTTGTTTCATTCATTTTTGGATGCATTCGAGGTTTTAGCTGAATGATTATTTAGTCGTGAATTTGCGTTATGAGTATGAAATGGGTGTGTAGACGGTGTTTGTCTATGTCAGTTGATTTGAAATGTTAGTGTTTACTGAGATCTGGATGAATTGCTAAAAGTTCATCAATTTTCATGAATATTTTATTGAAATAGTGATTATTGTTTGGATAGGATGGGAAATTGTTTGCAGGAATGTAATAATAAAGTGACTCAGCTTTTGTTATGCCAACAGCAATAAAAGCTGAGAAATTTTCATTCAGTGCGTTCGCAGAATTGATAGGAAATAGCGGTGGTGATGAAAACATCAAGTACAAACGACACTTGTGATACTAAAACTACTGTAGAAATAGCTGTCATTGTTTTGCAGTTGGTTGATCGCATGACATATAACACTTTAAATGGAGTTAACGGATAGCGGCAATATGATCCGATATCAATTTTCTATTAGAGCAATGAAGTGAGAAGCTTATCAGACGCTCTCAAAAAATGCTTTTACATCGACGACACTAGTAATAATTAATTAATTAACGTAAATTTTCACCCTCTCAATACGCTCATCAACGAAACATTGAATAAATAATTAAGCGCATTAACTTCTGGAAATGCTTCAGTGATGTGTTGCGATGCGGTATTATTTAGAATTGAGTCGTATCTCGTCTCTCCTTCAAAGCTAAACAACTCAATTTTGAAGTGTCATTTATAACATTGTACATCTTTACAACGAATAACTCTCCTTCAATGCAGTCGTTGGATAATTAATGCAGATCATCTTATTTATTGCGTAAAATATTATGTTATGATATAACCATCATCGAATTACATGAAATGATCAGATAACCTTCTTGTGATCAAATCACCCAGCACTGCTCAGTCAAAAATACTGGTTGTAAAGCAGCGATAAATTGATGTCACAGGATGAATGATGTGAGATAATAAGTATTCTTTAATTGATATATGTAATTAACGCAATTAAAGCACGTCATCAGTCGTGATCGTTTGAACTGTTTTATTCAGTTGCTCCAATTTGATGCTCATTCAAATCGTCTCTTAGTATCGCAGTAGAGAAATGAATCGAAAATCAGATAATATATAGTATTATTTATTATTATTGTTATTATTATTCTCATTGTGCTGAATGATTTTGATTATGAAACTGATACTCTTTTATTTGTGAGTTATTGAGTGTAGATATAATATGCATGATTGAATTGCATTCATTCCAAAGCAGGGATCGGCAACCTCCAGCCCACGGGCCAAAATTGGCCCGCCGACAAAATTTTTTGGCCCGCCGGATAAATTTGAGAATTTGATTTTGAAGGGCTAAAATAGGCTTCTTCGAATTACACTGAGAATTTTCGAAATAGAATTTTCTATATCAAAAGTTTCTGGCGGGCCAAAAGTGTGTCGCCGACATGTACATTTTCTTGATCCATCTGTACTCATGTGAGCATGTTATCCAAAAATCATGCACGGATTCTGCCTTCTTGAGCGCATCACTGACAACAGAGGTTGTTTGGAAATCAATAAGCTCCAACGAAAATGCGGCCTCATCCAACGAGGGGATGGTTTCTTTAGCCAGGGAGGATATATCCGCACTTCGGACAGCGAGATGGCCACGAACAAAAGCGATGATATCCCTCGGGATGGAGTAGTCGTATCTGGACTTGAAGTTGGCCTGTAGCTGTTTGATGAAATTCATCATTATATCTGTCACTTGTTCCCGTGCCTGTGATTTCAGTGTAACGAAGTGCAGCAGCCTACCAGTTGTTATGTCTGACTGGAACAACTCCACTTTCTTGGTGAACGATTCAAGCTTTTCAGCCATGTCCACAATGATTTTGCCTTTCCCCTGCAGCCGAAGGTTAAGTTGGTTCAGATGACCGAAAATATCAGTCAAAAATGTCACACTGGACATGGATATTTCATCTCGTAGAAAGGCAAGGTGGTCATTTGTAATTAGCCTCTTGCTTAGACTCAGGAAGGCCTTGACCTCATCCAGTAGTGCCCAGAAGCACTCCAGCGCTTGGCCTTTACTTAACCAGCGCACGTCATTGTGGAGCTACTTTGCTTGGACTATTTCACGATTTTTGTTTTTTTCACAATCGTGTTCGAAAAAGTAAGGAAATACAATAAAAAAATATGTTGGCCCGCCAATCAGTTGCTCGGAAAAATTTTGGCCCGCTATCAAACCAACTTGCCGATCCCTGCTCTAAAGGTTGCCGTTGAGGTGTCCTCTGACGAAGGAAATGTTCTTATGTATCTTTCGGAACGGAAGCGATACCTGCTACTCTATCGCAAAATCCGAGATGAAGCTCCGTTCTGTGGGACCCTCACAGATTCATCTCTTCCTTTATTTACGACTTTTCCCCCCTTTAGTCCTCTCTGGTTACTCTGCTAATTCAAATTCTCAGATGCGACGGCTGAATGTCAGAAGTTAGGGCAACTTCTTCACTGATCAAAAGCTCATTTTAATGATCTGAAGTTATTCGAGACAACCAGATGGGGAGAAATTCGGAAAAGATGGGACTGAATAGTCGTGAAATCGCAAGGATTTCGATGGAGGAGTAGCGAGTTGCTGGCGATAATTCAGTGAAATCAACTGTATGTTTATTGAGAAATAGAATGCAAGGTGGATCCGTGTCACTGATATTATGTTTGATGTGGATGATAACGACGAATGTAGACGCAGTCAGTGAACAGTACGTTCAACACACAAACAATCACACTCGAAATGCATCAGTGTGTCATCAAACGAACATGTCTGGCACATGCACTCAAAAACGTTAGCATTCACAACTGTTGAGTTACTCGAGAAGGCTCTCTTTGAGAGCATCATATTGTTCGTCAGAAAAGAACCTTTTGGTCAGAACAGAGGATCCGTCGGGAAGCATATTGGCCAAAGGGAGAGGGAGGGGGGGGGGGGGGGAGGCTCTGACAAAAAATCGGAGGGATAATTGACCGGGTAGAGGAGGAAATTCCGATAAAAAAGTCTTGGCACAAAACTATTGGGCGGTACTTCGTCGAAGAATGATTGCGTCGGGAATAACGGAGATCAATTAAAGCGCAATTTCAAAGAAATTTCTCCTCCCAATGCGCATTACTGAAAAGAAAACGATTCAATGAAAATGCACTCCCGACTACGACTTTCAATAAAAAAATGGAAAATACGGAAAACTTTGAAAGGTTGAACCAAGACTCTTCAGGTCGGACCATACAGTATGTTCGGGGAATCTCTGATTCACTTTTGCAGAACCTGCAAATATACTTCGTTTTGGATTCTCAGTTGTGCTTCAGTTATCACCGCAATGTTCGCTAAACTACCTTTAGCGATTTCTGCCAATATTCGAGCACCTCAGCGGAAAACCTTGCTCATCCGATGACGGGCTTGGAATAATTTGTTGCTGAAAATTAAAACCCTTATAAATCTGCTTCTTCAGTACAAAATTTCATCCCGGTGAATACACATAGCCTTCACGAAGACGTTTCTGTACTGTGCCGCCGTTCGTACAGTACACCTGATTGCATTTCTGATTTAGTGCAGCGAATTCCAGTCGACGTGGGCCGTACGATCTTAACTACGTACATAATTTGTGCGAGTGCAGCAGTAGTACGGGTGTGTTTTTCAGTATCGTACGCCTAAGTCCAAATTTGAATTGCAGTTTGATGCGAGCGGATCATCCTGAAATACATCGGACTTTACAGATCACCAAAAATGTCGCTATTTTCCCCTCAAGAGCAAAATATTCAAAATTTCCGCCACCCAAAAACGCTTTTTTGCAAAAGTTTGCAGTTGTCGGGTATTCTCCGCGAGAAGATCATCCTCCGCGTTGGGGAGGAAATTGGAAGGGAAGAGCCCCAACAAAAAAGTCGGGGAGCGGACCGACCGAGGGGTCCCCACGGGGAGGAATTCATCAGAGTGCAGTGGGGGCAACTCAACTAAAAAGTCGGGGCGTAAAATTGTCGGAACCTGTTCCTCAACGGGGTCCTCGTTTCTCGACGAACACTGGTTTGCGTACACTCTCTCAATCAGATTCTTACACCGGATATGGTAACAGTTATATGCGTTGATAACCATGTTTCTATTTCAGTTCAACGATTCTATTTCAATGCATCTATCGGTAAATGTTTAGCATTTATTTACAATGGATGTGGTGGTAATGATAATCGTTTCGACACCTTGCAGCAGTGTCAGCAGTTGTGTTCCAAAGGTACCATTTACTGATGATTCACTTTTCATGCACTCATACAAATTGGTTATTTATTTCGGTTACACTACGTTAATGAAAATACGAATGAAGTAAATTGAATTCAGATTCTGACACATCACTGTGTATTGGAACATTTGCTGAATCATCGGCCCGAATTGATTGTTCGAATGATTTATGCCCCCATGGATTCATTTGCAAAACGAACAAGCGCTCGATAAGTGGTTGTTGCAACGAGGCTGATGAAAGTGCGATATCCGCAATATAACATGTCGTAACACAACATAACATAATCACCAAATCACTTAATCAGAGACTGAATTTAGACAACTCTCTGCAGTCACATTCATCTTACTGTCCTGGAGGAAGTCGTGCTTTGCGATCGGTTAATGATGTCTTGTTGGCGACTAGTTGCGATCAGCTGATGTGTCCAGATGGCTATGAATGCCTGCAGGCTTCTGCGTCATCCCTAGCCAAATGCTGTCATCTTCCTCTTTCGAACCACTTCTCTCCATCCCTAGCACACAACCTCAATACTGCTGAGAAACAAAAAGCTGAGTCTATCGTTATTGTATCATATCGTTACCATATCACACTACATTATAATCCAGCTCAGTCTCTTATAAGTCGATTCCACAACCAATTCCATCTTGAAATACTTCATCTACTTTTATACTCCAAACCAAAATCATCTACCAACTACTATCACTTCCTCTTCAACCACAACATTTCAGATCGAACCTCACAATCCATTCTCTCCATCAATAATTTCGGTCTGCGATTTACAAAAAGACGAAGGCAATTGCACGCATTACCCTCATGCACATCGTTAGTTATCTATTTCTCGGAATGCTTCTCATCCAACATAATCGATGAACTGATGTATAAGTATATCTCCAACTTCAGGTCAATATTTCTACTACAATGCAGAGTGGCAATCATGCATGACATTTATTTACACGGGATGTGGTGGTAACGCAAACAAATTCTTAACAAGAGAGCAGTGCGAAGCTCATTGCCAATATGGTTTGCTTATTATCATTATTTGAGCAGATTCTAGTGGTGATTCAATTGCAGCTGATGGTAGTGCGTGTCTTGGTCCAGTTCCATCGATAATACCAGAAGATAACGACGGTGATTGTACAAACACAACTTGTCCTGAAGGGTATCAGTGTGCTTATGGCTTCGGATTTATTGAGTGTTGCAATTCGACTATTAAAAGTTAGATTCCATTCAAAGTGCTCATAAACATAAAGAAAAGATGCGATAGCATATCACTGTCGATGACATAAATTACAGATGCTGTTAGTGAAGCGTATGCATCCAAATGTCCAGACGGTTCACAAGCCGGTGGTGTGAGTAAGGATTATTTCATGGCTACCTTTGCGGCGTCTTGTGATGATCTTATGTGTAATTCGGATCAGCGTTGTGTTCAGGTCTACTACTTTCTTTCATTTGATTCGCAGTTACAATTTCGAGTTTAACCTTTTCATATTGCTGAATGATTTCTTGGAAGAGTGCCTTGCGTTATTACCTTTAAGATATTGGGTTGTTGCATAAGTTCGTGCGCTTTATCTAAGTTTTCTAAAACTTCGTTTTCAAACCACAAAGGCTAATCAGTCAATCGACAACGTATTCTCCTTCGGTTTCCACGACTTCCTGCCATCGTTTCACCAGGAAGTCAATTCCACGACGACAGAAGTCCGCTGACTTCGAGGTGAAGAAGTCGTCTAGCCACGTTTTGACGGCATGGTCGTTGTCGAAGGCTACACCACTCAGGCTGTTCGAGAAAGAGCGGAAGAGGTGGTAGTCAGATGGAGCGAGGTCTGGCGGATAAGGTGGATGAACCAAAATTTCCCATCCAGGCTCCTCGGTCGTTTTTCTGGTCAGTTTTGCTGAGTAAGGGCGCGCGTTGTCATGCTGCAGGATGACTTTGTTCGCGATATCGGGCCGTTTGTCCTGAATAGCCCGGTTGAGCCGGTTCAGTTACTCGCTGTACAATGCAGCATTGACTGCTTCGTCATTCTGAAGCATCGCTCTGAGGGATGAGAACATTCAGACGCCCCTCGTCGAGATCCAACGTCCGACCTGAACGTTGCCCGCTCTCCACGTCGAAGTCGTACTTCGCGAATCTCGCACACCGTTTCTGGGCTGTTCCTACCAGCATTGCATCATCTCCGTATACGGCGCAAATGTCACAAGCGACCGTTGAGCCCTGATTGAATGCGCAAAGTAGCACTTGTCGAAAATACGTTTTCTTGTTCATTTGACAATTCATTTTATCACGCTGAAGATCCAAAGGAAACAAAACTGCAGTAGATCGTCGAACACAGTTGCGAAGAGCAGAAAACACACTATCGATTGGTGTATAACACTCCTCCGGAAAAGTGGACTTTAGCCGGAATAATTCAATTTGATTAAGATTAAAAGCGCATGAACTTATGCAACAACCCGGTAATATCATTTAAAGTAAATTATCGTCATCTCAATTCTTGACAGTAGTGCGATAAACCTTGATGGCTGTATTCGGACTACATCAATGAGTATGAATGAATCGAGATATTTGATAAGACACCTAATATTCAAAGCGTAATGTAACTGTCATTATTGTAATTTGTATGGTTTAATCTAAGGAGATGGTAACATTTAAGGTGTCACAGTTCTTCGCCAAGTGCTGTTCCGATAACACGACTATATTATCACCGTCCGAAACGATGGTCGAGAGCGGACGTCGAATGCATACTCTTCCATGCAAACAATACTCTTCTCCTACTACTCCTTAATGCATACTTCGAATTCATGACATGAATCGTGCTCATGCCTCATCGATAATCAATGATTCAGTCTCGTGTTAACATTTTTATACAAACGCATATGGTCGTAAATTGTATTGAATGAATTAATTTTTGATGTGCGAACGCCACGAATGTTATCCTGATTACCACCTTAATCATTTTGTAGAAGTAATCAATGAACAATTATGTTAATTGTTAATTACTTCTACAAAATCTACTGGCTGAACGATTCTCCACCTCATTAAAATCGTATCTCTATGGTGCAAAAAGAGGAACTGAATGATGATATTCACTTATTAATGTACTACCTTACAACAGTAGCGTTTTGGTACACAGTACCACATTAGCTATTTAATCGTTCACAACGGATCATTTGTAACGATCCTTTATCCGGATGCCTGAAGGCAAATAAATTCACTTGTAAGAACATTTCATTGTCTACATTTTCGTCTCGTATGAACAAATCTTTCCACTCAGAAATGAGTCTTCAACCGTTTGTTAATAATACTATCATACCAAAAACGGACATTCACTTCGAATACCTCAACCGGTAACACATCACCCCGAGCAGTGTAATCATGACAGTCAAATCTATCATCAACTTCCAACCACCCAGCAGCCAGTAGAAACACTATCAATACCAATTATTTAAGTTCAATGCTTAGCAATCACTCATTTGCAAGTTCACGTTCTCCAGTAATTTACAAACTACGTTAAATCTAATAAACTAACAGCCGTCATACTGGTTTTTACCGCGGCACTTTTTTACTTCGGGAGGGGGAAGGGAGGAGATCGCACGCGAGCACGTTCGCGTATGACAACCGATGCCACGCCTACTGCACACGGCCTCAGCCTAAGTGTGACCTCAGTCTCATCTAAGCGTAGCATCAGACCACAACGGGGACTAGCAAGCGAGTTCAGGCTTAGGCTTAGGATGATATTACGCTTAGGCTGAGGCCATGTGCAGTAAACGTGGCCTCGGTCCATGTAAAAGCGTCGTTCGTAGTGTACGAGCGTATGTCTTTATCATTGTACGCGAGCTTGCTCGCGTGCGACCCCCCCCCCCCCAAAGTAAAAAAGTGCCGCAAGTTTAAGAAAGACTTAGCGGCCAGCAAAGGAATATAAGCTTGGATTGCATAGAATGACACTGGATGTGGATATGAATAGTGGTGCTCGATGGTGTGATTTATTGTATCGTAGATCATGACAATTTGCATTCACCAAATTCAAATCGATTCGCGCTGTGAATAGATAAGTACAGGTGACTGTAGACAGAGCTGATAAAAGCCTGCTATTCGAATACTTTATATTATGATAACATGTACTAGTTATATACGACTATCATGGTTCATGATAATTCTCGCAACACCAGCAAACCTTTACTCAGGGATTCTCATGCTGAACGTTCAGTTGCGTAGTTTCTAAATAATAATGACCAGTGAGACTAGGAATAAAATTATCAATAACAACATTCCAGTCGAAATCGGAATGACCATGAACATATCATCAATTTCAAGTTTTGTCGTGTCACCGCTTATTTCTTAATTTACTTTTACCATTTTTTTATCATTTCTGTGCATTTATTTCACAGTTACTTTTGCAGAAACCTTTCAGAGTTATTTTTGTAGAAACCTTGGTTTCGAACGATGACAACGAATTCACAGTTGCAATGGTCACTTGTTGGTGTTTTGAAATGTTTTCATCATACGTACGCTATGCGTTCGTACTTAGTCGTGCGCGCGTGCGTACAAACATTGACGCGCCCGTGCAAGCGCATTCTTTAATACACCTGAAGTGCGTTGTGTTAGTGTTATGTGAAACGATTGAAATGAGGGCAATATGTGTGGATGCCGAACGTTGTATGAGTTTGTGAGCGATTAGGTACTGTGAATAATGTGGAAATGATTACATAACCTTAATAAGTATTATTGTTATCGATAGCACTATACTGGAGTACGACGTTATAATTACGATGAATTAATCTCGACATCTTTACCTTTTCATGTTTCTTCCTCAGCGTTGCTCTCCATCCATCTGTACGCGATCAGATTAGGTTGTTTATACACCCCCGTTCCAACAATTTGCGATTATTTCGCGTATTCTCCTTAGTTTTGATTTACGTGTGAAGCTTCTTTTTACGTGTCTGTTACTTATGTCTGATTTGTTTAATCGATATCTACTCAGTAGACGGCTTCGTAAATCTTTTTTTTTTCTGATAGTGAATGTGCGTCAGAGTTTATGCAATTAATTGGGAATGCAAAACGAGACTTCTGAATATCATTATAAGTCACATTTCACAAATTTCCATCTTTCATTAACGATAAGATAATTCCAGTATATGAGCTTACTAGTTTTCTTAAGATTTATGACGTTTCAAACACTGAAAAAGTTGTCACGAAAGTTCCAATACGCAAAAAAGTACGAGAATATATTCGACGAATCGTCAGCAAGTGTGCATGTACATGAATATATCCCAACATTGGTTGCGTGATTCATTCATTTCGTGATCAATTTTTGATTCATCTGAATGAATACAGCCATTGCATGACTTGAAAGTTACGTTAATATTTCATATTGAGTTCAGTCCGTATGTTTCTTGAAGTTGGGAAATTTAGCGTACATCTTTTTGTACTACTGGGGCAAGCTTAAGGAAAATTCTGAACTGAACCGGTTGGGCTTAAGCAGACCTGCAAAGGATCCCAATCCAAGCTCGTGGATTAGTGAATCGATGTGCTTGTGCCANGCCATGTCGAACAGTTTTCTTCGAACATACCGTTGTTGAGCGATTCTTTGAAACGTTTTCCAACATTGAATTGGAATTCCATTAGGCATGCTCTGAATTGCAGCGTTGGTTTTGGTGTTCAATCGTAACGATAAAATCAGTCGACAGGAAAGGGTGTGCCTCAAATATTCTGAATTACAGTTATGTCGGGTGATAGTGACTTGAATGTTGATCATTTGATCACAAGACTTCTTGAAGGTAGATTCTTTTTTTATGATCTGTTTTCGTTTCAATCTAGCTGGAGCCTTAATTCAAATTCTTTACTAAAATTAGGTTTCTGTGAAATGGTTTCCTCCAGCTTTCCTCTTATCTCTCATCTATCAAGAGGAGGGAAGGATAAAGTGCTTCTCCTGTTCTCCACCTGCCTTGCCTATGCCCCTGGTGTTCGACCAGTATGATAGATGCAAATTGTCTTTGTTGCAGTACGAGGATGTAGACCGGGCAAAACAGTGCAGATGTCCGAGAATGAGATTCGAGCTCTCTGTCACAAGAGTAGGGAAATTTTCCTTTCCCAGCCGATTTTGCTCGAGTTAGAGGCACCACTCAAAATTTGCGGTTTGTTTCACTTCTGATTACTTATTTTACACAACCCTTTTCTCAAAATTATCTTGTAGTTTCTGTTTTACTATCATTCGGTCATCTGTTTTTGTGACAATAACAGTTGTTCTGCTCATTTAATGTTTTTCTTTTTTAATGCCGTCATTTGGTTCACTGATAACGTTCTTGTTCACTTGATAATAGTGAATCTTGTAAACTGCATTTAATTAAATATTTTCACCACTCACAATGGGTTTTGCAGCCTCCGTACATTAATATTACGAGACTTAGTTAAAGAATAGATTCTGAAGTGAACGATCTCTTCATTAATTCTCGTTGTCCGCTAAGATTCGAACTGACGCGGTTAGAAGCTTCGGAAATAACTGAAAAAAAACACGAACCATTATTGAGGAAAATCCGGACTGTTAGTAATTGAATAATTTATGTTTACTGGTCCACTGTGCTTAACAGCAAAATTTTCAGGTGATATTCATGGCCAGTACAACGATTTATTACGATTGTTTGAATATGGAGGATTCCCACCGGAAGCCAATTATCTCTTCTTGGGAGACTATGTAGATAGAGGAAAGCAAAGTCTCGAAGTACGTAGATGAGAAATTTTTGATCGTGAGCGTGGAAGAATTTTTGAACATTGTTTAAAATTTTCGTCCATGTTTCAGTATTTTTTCTCACGACGTTTCATTCTTCATTTCGGTTCTTGGAGCAAGTTCAGCTGCCGTTATTTTCAAATTCGTAACATTTGTTTAGATTTTCGGTAACTGACTCAAAACGGTTAGTAAATTGCAGCTTTCATTTGTCATCAAATGAAATGTGTTTACATTTGTTCGCATTTCTGCGCTTACAGTTTTCTGATAGGAATGTATTTTTGCAGACCATATGCCTTCTTTTGGCATACAAAGTGAAATATCCGGAGAATTTCTTTTTGCTACGCGGCAATCACGAATGTGCTAGTATTAATCGTATTTATGGATTCTATGATGAATGTTAGTTTGGATTTTGTTATTTTTTGTTTTATGTAAAGGTATATGGATATTTTTGTTTAAATATAAAACGGATTATGAGAATTACATTGGGATTGGAACGATTTCCAGTTGGAATTCTCTTTGTCTTAACATTTATAAGTGAACAGATATATCAATTTGCAGTTGAATTGTTCATATGTTATAAACATGATAGGTATCATTATCGTTATCGTAATAGACTGATCGTGAGATGTTGAATGAATTCTTTTATTGATTAAAGCGAGTTAGCAGTCGCACTTTACTTCATTTTCAGTCGTTTTTTTTTCAAAGAATTTTATTTCCCATACCTTATTGTTAGTAGGCCAGTTTAAGTACTTTCTCTCCTTTTTTTCATTTTTTCGCCAATAGTAAATAGCTGTGTAACTTGGCAAAGATGTATTGGTCTGTGGGGTTTTTTTTTGTGTGAACGGGTGAGCGATGACTGTTCTCGTTTATACATGAGATGATTATGATGGAAGTCTAGTGCCGTTCTGTACTTTTATCGTTCATTTATGGATATGTAAGGAGATTCATCATTTTTGTGGGGACAAATTTGAAGTGCGGAAGGAAACTTTGCTGTAAGAGGCTTTTTAGTGCTCATGATGTCTCCCTCACCAATGTCTTTCTTTTTTAAGCAATGTCTCGACATCATAAAGCGAATGGAATTGATCATTTTGGTCATTTTCAGGTAAGCGTCGTTTCTCAATAAAACTATGGAAAACATTCACGGATTGTTTCAATTGTCTGCCAATTGCTGCGCTGATTGATGAGAAGATATTCTGTTGCCACGGTGGTCTTTCGCCGGATCTTCAAAATATGGAACAAATCAGACGAATCATGCGTCCGACGGATGTACCTGATACAGGTTCGTGATCGTCCCTTTGTTAATAGATACTGAGGTTTAATCGGTATGAGCGAAGTGGTTGAAGTTGAGAAATAAGGTAACGATGTGAATTGATCGTGGGAATGATTTCAGGATTGCTGTGTGATTTGCTGTGGTCGGATCCAGACAAAGATGTTCAAGGATGGGGTGAGAATGATCGTGGTGTTTCGTTCACTTTCGGACCAGATGTTGCGGCCAAGTTTTTGAATCGACATGACCTCGATCTAATTTGTCGCGCACATCAGGTATATTCACTGTTCTTGTGTCCTTCTTGCCCATAATTCATGCACATTTACATTCTATTCACAGTCCCCTTTCGGCTGGAGCAAGTAAAAGGTAGTAGTGATGAAAATACAAATGTTTTACTGTCGTTGATATGCAAAGTCATCAGCGCGAATAGTTTAGTGCATCTTTGCATCTCGCTTCCGGTTCATCCGAATGAACTAAGAATCGAAAATTCACTGCAAGCCTACCAAGTGTCTAAATTTTTCGGTGACTCAAACCAAACTGATTCAATGAATGTGATATGAAATGGAGTGCTTAAGGTGGTCGAAGACGGTTATGAGTTCTTTGCAAAGCGACAGTTGGTGACACTGTTCTCGGCTCCGAATTACTGCGGTGAATTCGATAACGCTGGTGGTATGATGAGTGTTGACGAAACATTGATGTGCTCCTTCCAGGTTTGTTGTCGTCGATCCACATTTGATGTGATCACTCTTCGTTGTTCCGTTCAGTGATCATTTTCCTTCATTTATGGTTTTACGACCTTTGTCACTGTTCCTCCCAAAAAATCTTTCCATATACTAATTTTTGTCATCGCATTCATCTATTGAAGTGTACATTTGTACACTAGTGACAAACAAATTTAACACGTAAAAGATAGCTCTTTGGTAGAGATCAATGTATGCAGGAGAACTGGTTTCTCATTGACGAAAGTTTCAGTTAGCCCATTTTCGGTTGTTGTTTTTCATCTTACTACTTGTCACTGAGTTAGCGATCATGCGGAGGGATGTGCGTATGTCATGAACTTCTTTTAAAAGTATTTTCGTACTTCGACTGACAGTTCGTCGTTGGAAAAGATGGGCACAGGTGAATGTGCGTAGTTGGGTGGTTATGAACACCAACTGATTTATACTGTTCGATCAGAACATCATCTGTTTGTACTGACCAGAATAGATCAGAGAACATTTCGTGTTGCTGTAACCATAGCAGCAATGATGGCAAAAATGATAAGATATAAAAATAGTTCGGTATGGAACTTGCTGATAACACAAACTAGCGCAACACTGCTAAGCGTGTATCAGCGTAGTTGAATCGAATAATTACCCAGAAAATTGTAACGTTTGCTACTTAAGTGCATATAAACTCAGTCTTAAAATCCACTTTTCGTTTTAGATTCTGAAGCCATCCGAGAAAAAAGCGAAATACCAGTACTCAGGGCTGAATAGTGGGCGTCCCGTACAAGCAGCGCAAAGGGCTGGAACCCCGGGTGGTTTACAAAAGAAGAAGTAATTTGAATGTGAATGCGAATAATAATAATGATATTGTGAATTTGACATTGTTTCTTCTATTCTCTGTTTGTAAGTTCACTCTGTTTTCTGTTGGTAACCTCTTCCAAAATTACCAATCGTTTACTTGAGACATCAGTTTATTGTTTCTGTGCAGTCGTTCGTTCTTAGGAATTGCGTTCTTTGATCTGTCAGTTACATTTTCGGTTGACTCGATTATATGCAAGTCATATTTCTTGGATACTGACGATCTTCATCCAGTAAAAGTGCTGTCTTCGTTTACTCAGCTGTACGGCTTCGTGTCGTTCAAGGTATTCGGTGTACAGAAATATTCAGACAAAATGTTTCAACTTTCATTTCGCTTCGATAGTATTGTTGAGATTGTGTATGCCGGCGTTGATAGAGGTGATTTTTATTCCGCGGAGCATAGCCATCATGTAAGCACACACACCAAATCACAGTCACAGACTCTATCAAGTGAATGATGAAGCTTTCCCGTTAATCAATTTTAATCGAGACTTTAATTTTGAGACATTTTCTGTGACGGTTTTCATTTCGTTCATTGTTCCGCTAAATCTTCCGTTTGCTCTGCGCAACTGTCTCCTTCCATCCTCCCCCACCCGACGTAAAGTGTTTTTGTGTAACTGAATATTTGGAATGGAAAATTTCTGCATCTTCTAAAATCAATGGCTGTTGCTTGGTAACGACATCCTATGTGTTTTTACTTGATTCATTTGAGACTAATCAAGTGTTCGCATATAAAAGCCGTTCCTTTTCATATCGTATTGTTTGAAAAATTGTTTTGTAAGCTTTTTATGTTTGTAATCTTTGAACTTCTTATTCAGTGCTATTTTATGTTGTGACAGCATTAAGAGTGCTATATTTTGTGTTCATATGATGATATTAAGTATGCAAACAGAGCATCATTTCTTCATTATTTTGATTGATTCTATTGGAATTTAGCCTCGACTGAGCTGTAATTTTTGCTTAAAAAGTTTTTCTCGATATTCTTCAATTGCTGATTCATCTATTTGTGTTCCTTGTTTGAAACAGATATTTTTCGCACTAACAGATTCGTACTACGTTGTCATCATTTCGTTCATAGGTTGTTTGCTGCTTCTCACCGGAACAAATTGATTATATCTGATTTGACTTTTCCAGGAAAAAAGCTATTTTTGGAGGTTCACTTGTTAGAGAGAACGGCAAGTGCAAATGAATGTTACAACGAAAACAAAAAAAAGAAAAAACACCCTCAAAACATTATAGAATTAGTGACTGCCGGAAAAATGACTGCGTTTGCTTCCTAAAATTGAAGTCAGCTTAATTTTTCGTAGAATTTGTTATCGGAAATAGTAGGGCTTGAATATTTAGCGCAAACAAAAAAATCTTCACGACTCCAATAATATCACTGCTCAACAAATTTTTCCGATCAAAATTGCATACTTTTTTGATCGTGCTCGCCATCTCTCTCCATTCAATAATTTCTTCAGCAATTTATTAATTCATCTGACGTTTTGTCTGTTCCATTGAAACAGACAAAATGAACAGAACTTGTTCGTTTTGTCCGTTTCAGCGTGGAAAATGTTTTCATGAATTTTCTCATCATCATTTCGTCCGAAATTAGTGCCGAGATGTTGATTCTTTATGCGAAAAGGAGTCAAATCGACCACAAAATTTCGATTGTTTGCTTTTTTTTCCAAATTTGAGGTACCATTCTACTGCGTTTTTGCTACAATTGGTTGTTTTTTTTNTTTTTTTTGCTTTCGATTTATGCCGATTTCGCTGATCGTAACAATTTTTGGAATGGTTGTTGAAGGGGTGGTTACGCCGGCTCTTTGTGATTTCAATGTGAAATTTGTTATGCACAATACTGAATCGAAAAATTATTATAAAAATGAAATTTTCCACCATTCGCCAGGTTCAAATTTCACTTTATAAAGTCACGATCTTATTAGATATTTAGGTAACCAAATCATTTGACTTCTGGAGTACGTTCTGCTGGCATTAATTAAGCAAATCTGGTTGTTTACTATTTGGCATTCGGAATCGTTTTTCGACCGCAAGACTTGAGGTCTCATGTTTGAAGATTCATCCAAATTTCATGGAGTTTTTTTTTCACATCAAATTGTTTCTCACTCCTTACGAAACGTAAACGATAAGTGGTGCGTCAATCAGCTAAATTCATCATCCTCATCGTAGAAGCGTCCATACCGTATGTGAAACGTTCATATCGCTTCAGATAACTTCCATGAGTCCAGAAATCACTTCATTCATTTTATATATTTTTTTCCGCATATTCAACATTTTTCCTTTTGTTTATAAACTGGAAAGAACACACTATTATTATCTTTACAATGTAGTACTGATGTTATGAGATGTAAAAATAAATGGTTGATTTTCGTTCGTTGATTAATACAAGGTAACTTTATTATACATTGATATGAACGAATTAAGGTATCATTTATATTTGCTTTTGATTGCACAACGGTAAGGGATCAATTGTGTCAAGTTTAAATCTTGCTTAGTACTCAGTGATCATTTTCATAGAGCATTTGATTGATTCATTTTTCGGTGCGATGAGCCTTGACTTACCCAAAAATTTGAACAGAATTTTCAAGCAACTGAGCAAAAAATAGGAACAGTCGAACTGCACCATACTGGAGGAAGTTGGTTAGTATTTGCAAACGCATTTTGCAATCACGAAGAAGTCCAATTTCAAAGAAAAGTGACAATCGATGTGGTCGTACTTCATTTCTGTGTTCCACTTGTGAGAACAGGTCAGATCAATTGGTCCGAAGTTGATCGGATATGGAGTAAGAGATCCCAGAATGAATTTGGTAGTCTTATCAACGCAGTGAGAATGCCTTATTCGGTTTGATTTGATAATAATAGGTTTATTCGACAGAAATTCAACGCTAAAACGCAGACATGTCGAGAAAGAAAACAGCAATAAATAAGAAACATAAACACAAAATGTAACGCAATAAAAGTGGAATGTGGATAATAAAACGGTGATAATGCATGCAAATTGATCTCAGTACAAAAATTCACCGATTAGAATGTCATCGATCAAAATCAATATTTGCTTTGAAATGAGAGATAAGTTGTTTAATAAGTCTATTACGGAATGAGCAAACATTTGTTGCGATAATAACATCTGATGAAAGATTGTTCCATGTCTCTATTACTGCATCGGAAAAAAGCGTTGGCTGAAATGATTTGAAGCCATTTTCAGATATTTTATAAAATCAGCAATAGCGCCTTCTCTTATTAAGGAAACCAATAATACCATTCTCTTTTACTCTATGCAAAATCAACAAAGTTTGAAGGATTCAGACGTATGTAGATTCAAATGTGATGATTGCAAACATTTCGTTTGCACTACGAAAAAGAGTAAGATTTGAACGCAGCTTCTTTTATTTATGAGTTTTGATGTTCACAATAATGATTACAGCTGAATGGCGGCGATGTTCCAGTGCGTAACATTATAATCGGATTTATCAACATACGACTGACTGAGCTGAATAGTGAAATGAGACAAAAGGTTGAACAGAAAAGGACGAAGGTACGATTCGTTCAAGGAGAGTAACAATAGCATTAGAAAAAAAATAGTTATATGACAGGTGCTATTAACTCATGATTATAGTACTAATGAACAAGCAAAATGCACATTATTTTTTCGAAGCAATGAAACTTTGAATGTTCGAGAGTGGGAAGGCGATTGCGAGCGATTTCCACTGAAACATTTGTATTTCTAATCTATGGTTGCCGCCCATTCAGTTGAGCACATCCAAATTTTGACTCTTACGCACTGTCAAGAAAGCAATTTCAACCATGCTGAATGACAATAGAAATATTTACCAGTGGTGGGCAGTAGCGCGTTATTCGTTACTTCATTATTATCGGATTAATTTTTTTCGATAGCGCTACAGCGTTGTTTTCATAGAACGGAATTTCATAGCGATTACTTCCGTTACAATCATTTTTAGCGGCAAAGATAGCGAGAATTTGCGCTGTTTTCTTCCGTTGGCATTTCAGTGAGTTGATATTTTCTGAGCCTCCGCTACATCGCTACTTTATATCTGCAAGGAAAGGCATATTTTTCCACTATCAAAATATAGTTTTGCACTCTAACACTAACGAGTGCTCAGTTTAAACTTATCTTATTTGAACTCGTCCTAACTAGTCGAAGTTGAATTTTCAGTCAAACCTCAAATACTTGCTATAGGGGCATCTCTACCATTCCGTCGAAGGTCATTCACTAAATTGTTTGATTTTAAATAAGTTACGTGAAATTACAATAAAGTTTTCTGCATTACTGTTCTCACCAGAAAATGACGTACCAGGAGCGAGACGATCCAGACTCTCAGACGAAATGCTCAGCCGGTTGAAATTTTTGAAAGGGAATAATGAGGTGTAGTGTGGACTATTGCCAGTTGACTGTTTCCATCCGTGAATTTTTTGATCATCACTTGGTCATTTTCTTGTTGTTGAAATTTGTTTTCATTATGGCCTGATGTTTATTGTTGGAAAGAGTTATTGCTGCTGAATAATCAACTTAAAATTTTTGACTGTCCAATGGTTAATGAGAATTTTTCCCGGACAAGTCAGTGGTGCAATTGCAAATTTTGATGGAGGTTTCTAAAGGAGCGATTAGCGAAATAGTTTCGCTTGGTAGCATTAGCGGAAACTACAGCTATTTTTTTAATGAGCGATACTTTTAACGAGAAAATTTCGCTATTTTTGCGTCAGCAGCACTACCAACGGATCATTTTTAGCGGAACAAAAATACTTTTGCCAATGAACGATCAACGGAGCTATTTTTTTTAGTGGCGTGCCCATCAGTGATATTTACGATGCTCAGAATGCGTGAACCATCAAAATTTTCGATTATTCGATTGTATAAATGTATTTGCTTTCAATTATGAGTGAAGAAAAGAAAGAAATTGTTAATGCTGTCGACAATTTCTATTCACTTTGTCGATTCACAACTCCCCTCCCCCA